ACGTTTTTCCCTGACATATTCCGGTCATTTGAGGACGTTGAGCTGTTCTGTGGGGGTCTTATCAGCACCAAATATAAGCTCCGGAGCAGTTCCAGCCCCTTGGGAGGCTGACTGTTGGCCACTAGGTGTCACAGTGGCTGTTTGGAAAAGATGAGTTCACCTGGTAAAGAGATTAAATTGTGTTTTTCTTTCACAATTTAAGTTTCAGAGTATTAAATGAGAGTAAAAGAACAATTTCACAGATGCATCCAAATTTTTGTCTTTGATCTGTATTGTTTGATGGAGCAAATATTGTTGGATTAAAAAAAAAACTAAACATACTGAATGTGAAGTTCGTAACCTCAAGAGGTTTTGAAAGCATTTATTGGATTTTACTTTTATAACACATAACAGTGTAATGTCCTTTGTTCTGAATGAGTAAGAAGTTGTTTAAATTTTGTGTAATGAGCTGATAAATCTGACATGATTTCATACTTGTAGGGACTGAGCAAAACTGGTTTATTTTTATGGAAGCAGATAAGAATTGGGGTGAAGGGATCACTCCTTGAGATGTGTTACCATTTTTTTCCTTTTAAAAAATAATTTTACAATAACTTTATGCTTAAACCACAAAGATGTGTTATTTAAAATGTCATTTTAAGTTTTAATTCAGAAAACCAAGGTGTTTATGTTATACAGTATTACCAAGATTGTCAGTCGCACAATATTAAATACATAAAGATTTTTTTGCAAAAAACTATTTTGATTTTAGATCAATTTCTTGTTGATTTGAATTGATTTTGTCTCTTTTTTAAGTAGGATGGTCTACCTCATACAACTTTTTTTTTAGTAATCTAATTTTGTTATTCTTGAAGAATTAATGCTCASCAGGAGAAAAAAATACTTCACTGCAGGACAAATGTCACAACTCAGCATGACCTTGGATTGACTGGCACACACAATAGTAACACGACTGAGAAGGGATTCAGTCGACCAAATCCACTCGTAAAGAAAAAGAAAGAAAGAAAAAAGAGCCACGCAATCAAAACTTTCTCAAAGTGGGAATAACGTCCATACTCTCTTCTTTGAAACAAACGTTGCCAATATGTCAGGCTTAACTGAAACAAAACTTTTACGTTTGTTAAAAAATGAAATTGTTTGTGGTAACTTGACTGTAAACACTAAAACTATAATTGTTAGATTATTTTTCTCGATTATTTACACACAATATCTGAAAGCATGCTTCATGTTCCACCACGACCAGGATGAAAACCACACTGCTCTGCCTGAATCTGAGATTTGACTATCTGACCCTCCTCTCCAGGACCCCTGAATAAGATCTAACCAGGGAGGCTCAGAAGTGTGATTCCTAGTTGGAACACAGCTCTACACCCTCAGCAGGGTCCTGGAGGGTGTAGCTTGGTCTGCATTGCCAGTAGTAAGTCAGACTCGTTTCTGGTGAGTGTTGAACTCCGCCAAGGTTGCCCTTTGTCACCGATTCTGTTCATAACTTTTATGGACAGAATTTCTAGGTGCAGCCAAGATGTTGAAGG